CAGAGGTGAGCAAGGCAGAAGGGAAGACCTCAGTGAAGACCTATAAACTGTGCATGCATGTGAGATGAACTTGTGAACACACGTCCAACTTGGCTGATCTATAAAGATCCTGTTTTTATAACACGCCTCCTGAAGCATTTTACTAAAATGAGCAAATGACTTTGATTTAAAATTAGGCTTTTAAGAATTCTTAAAAACATTTTTAACACTATCTACCAGAATAAGCAGAGTGGCTTCCTGGGGACAGTGGACTCCATACCCTAAATCTTGTATTTCTGAATGCTCTCTCCCAAAGCAATTTTCCCTTTACCTCTTTGCCTTGAAACAATCAAAGCAGCTGAGAGCTACAGCTCAACTTTATTAGTGATTTAAAACACACCCTTGGAAACCAAGCTTTTTTCTTTTTCTTTCTTTCTTTTTTTTTTTTTCATCCAGGTGGGAAGCTGTGTTCCAGCAAATGGGAACAACACTCAGGGAAAGTTCTCAAACAGATAATACTTCAGAGCCAGACTTCAAAAAATTCTACCAGGCAGCCTTCTACCCAATAGAAGACAAGGGGAACCTGGTAAGAAAACTAAGCTTTCCATATAAAGTCAGAGATAAAATAGCACAGCCGCCAAGATTTGGCATCTTTAAAAATGCCTTTTCAATCTTTAACTTTTGTCTGCTTGGTCGTCTAGCAACCAAGTACTGAAAAGAAACTCCACCCAAAACAAAGTGAAACAATACAGACACTTTACTTCATGAGTGCGCGTGTGTGCGCGTGTGGGGGTGTGGGCGTGTAAGATTCTCTGGGTTTAAAGATAGAAACTCGCTTTCACACAATTAAAGCACACCAAAAAAGTCTTGTCGATGGTAGGAAAGGAAGTCAGGAGTGAGTAAAAAAGCATTGAGAAAATGTGTAATGCGGGGATGAGGGTATAGTTTCCACACACCCAGCTAAAGCAAGGTTTACACTCTTAAGCAATAAAAACAAACCATTAAGCTAGGCCCAGCACTGTCAGGAAGTATAAAACAGTTCTTGAAACTTTGCAGTTACTATACAAAAGCTTTTCATAAACTCTGTTTCCTGATCTTCATTAAATGTTAACATCAAGTTGCCATGGGGCAATTAGCTTGCCTCCTGAAATCAATAAAAAATCAACAATTTGGAAATAGTTGTACAGTAAAATAGTTCAATAATTATTCTCTCATAGTGTTGCGGCCAAGCAGTTCCAGGGTAAATGCAGTCCAGATGAGATCCTGCTCCTTATGAGGGAAGCTTTAAGCAAATCGGTGGTTTGTTCAGAGACCTCCTCATCTGAATGGACTGCAACAATAATGCACTCCTGGCAATGCCTTGGAGTGGGGCCCAGGGCACAGGGCAGCACAAACTTTTAAGTGGTGTTAAAGTCAGTGTCTGGTATAGCACTGCTTAGCCGCCTCACAGGGACTCAATCAAAATTTAGAGACCTAAAGAAACTGATAAACCCAGTGGGAGAAAAAAAATTCAGATGCCCTACATCTAAAATATGTAGGCATTTAGACTCCAGACAGAAGCAAATCATTTGTTCTCCATGACTGATGTCTGTGTGTGTAAAAGTGCATGTATGTGTATACACGTTGTGCACACACAATGAAGAGTGTACTTGAGATTATTCCAAAATTTTTTCAACAAATATCTAAATCCAAGTTGCTTGTAAGAAAATGTTCAAAGCACTCCTACAAAGTCAATTGATGCCACTACACAAATGGCCTTCATAGCAAACTTTGCTAGAAAATAGGTGAAAACACTGAGCAAAGACAGGAATTTATTTCTCTCCTGACCCCCATTTCAGAGGGAATCAATTCCTTTTGCTTTTCCAAGCCTGAACCCATTCACTTAAGCACCTTATTCAAAGCCAACTTCGGCATAGGAAATTCCAATATCCATTAAATCAAACCTCAAATACCAACTTTGGTAGCTTTATACCACCCTCTAGGCTCAATGGAGTTGTACAGTGAACTGTGTTATAACAACAACCAAAAAAAGTCAAGTATCATTTTTAGTATAAACAAATGCTTCAAATGCATGACATCTATTTGCTGCCTTCAAAGGGAAGACATTTAACTCAGAGGCTTGGCACTAAGATCACACACTAGGATCAACTCCGTGGACTGACTTAAGTGTTAAACTTTTTTTAAAGTACGTTTTTAAGGGCTTGCACCTGCTCCCCCATCCACATAGATGTACTGACACGTATTTGACTAAACTGACTGCATACATGCCCAAGCAAGCAAGCGGAGCAGATTTTACAAGATAAGCAACCAAGTGTTTTCATGTCTGAGGGTGGCTAGAACACAAAATTGCCAGTCATCTTGTGGGGGAAAAGAATGCCTTTGAAAAAAAATATGTAGGCCATCATTTCAGATATGCTGAAATGTATTCAGATGCAGTTCTGTATACAGTTTTTTTTTTTTTTTTTCTGTTTCTTTTCCTTTAAGCTCTGCTTCTTAGGGAAGGGCCTAAACTTGGTTCAACTTCTGCATGTAAGACTGAGAAGACATTCATCAGAGTCTTGCTACTCAAATTGTGGTCCTTCAATCTGCAATAAGGGCTTCACCTGTGAGCTCCTCAGGACTTACCCCAGACCCTCTGAAACAGAATCCATAATATAACATGATTCCAGGGAGTCTGTATATGCATTGAAGTTTCATTCTCCTGGAGGCATTACTAGTGATTTGAATGCACATTAAAATCTAAGAAGTTTTATTTAGAACATTGCCACCCCCCTCCCAAGTTAGGAAGACGTTCACTTTGAAGTTTGCAGGGCAGGAAAAGAATCAGAAAATTCTGCCCTGGAGAATACCATAAGGTGTAATTTATGTCAGCAGGGTTGAGGAAAGAGGAAAAGCAATTTACCTGAGTCGAGTAGACTGGCAAGTTATCCCCATCTCACCCTACCCATCCCCACAAAAAATAAATCAGGAAGGGCATAGTGCCAGAACATTCTTACTTCCTTGGATTGCCTATCCGTGTTCCAATTACTCTAGACTTTAATTATTCTTTGCTGCAAGGCTGTGTTTCTTTTGCTTTATAATAGATAAGGGAACTGTGGCATATAAACATTCCATGAATCAACATCTTAACGTTAATATCAGAGTGCAACAGAAATATGCTTTCCAAAGTGCTTTGATTCACTTTTGATTGGACAGATGATTTTTTCCCCCTTCAATAAACAATGGAGGGGAAAAACATGAGCCACTCAGGATATCTAATAACTAAATAGCTTGCTACATAGACCAGATTTACAGAACTTCTCTCCACTCTTGGTTTCTTGAGAGACAATTTAGTAATTGGAGTAGAAACTATGAAAAAAAATAGAAGAACAGATATATCTTTAAACCACTCATGCTCCCCCTTCCTCATTTTGGAAGTCAAAAAAAAAATGAACACAGCAACCTGGACGTGCCATATAGGTTAAAACCACGCCAGTGAGGCACACGCAGCCCAGACAAGCACAAAAACAGATGACACGATTTAATCAATTTTGAAAGACGATCCCTCAAAATTCAGAAACTACTACAGTTTTTTACTTTAAGCCAATTCTACAGTGATTCAAAGGATCTTCCAGAATTGTGACTGAAATTCAAGAAATTCAGTGGCATGGTATTAGTTCTGACTCCTTCTCTGAAATGTCTGGAAGAGGGTAAAATGTATGTAAGAATACGGTTTCTCAAGTGAGCTGCCAAGAGGGTCAGAGCCCTCAATTATTATAAAATCTCTGAAACTAAAGGAAAACTGAAAATTCCATCATCAACATGTGTGATGTCCATTACATAAACCTCCATACATTTATACGTGTCTATTACAGTTTATATGGATATTAAGTACGTATATATTGTAAGAGAACAGATTTGAGCTGATGCCACTGAAAGCAATTTTAGCCCAGAAAATTAGAACAAAGCAGAGAAATTCAAAGGATGGATGGAATTGCCAAAGGATGAGATTCTTGTGCAGTACTCTCACATTCTCATCTAGAGAATCTGGAGTTGGAAAAACACAGGTTATTGTTTTTTAAGATGTTAAGACTTCAGTCTGTCTCTCATACTTATGGCAAGAGAGGTAAAGAATAACTGGAGGACAAAGAGGACCCTGTTTTCCATGGTGGAGTCAAATCTAATGATTGCCCACCTATGCAAGAGCAATCAATGCAGATAAAAAGAAGCTAAAAGATGATAAAAGATAGTTAAAGCGTTCAGTTAAACATATCATCTACAGAACCTTATAGTCCCTAAAAAGGTAGCTATGTTTGTGGTCATCCAAAATTAATTCTTTGGAAGAATTTTAACAACCTGTTGTACTACAAACACACTAGTTTTAAAGCCAGTTGTAAAGTGGAGTAAGTAAAGGAGATTAGAACTAGTTTTCACTTATTGTGGCAGGATTAGAGGGGACACAACAGCCTGGAAATTGACTTAAAATATTGCCAGTAACATAGCGAGGATTCCTAGGTTCCCTGGTCTTAAAATTCAGCAAGGGAGCCCTGCCTTGGGTCTGATTCCAAGGCGGGGCACAGAAGCTCTGCCCCTGGTAAGTGTTCATTCTGAGCAGCCTAATTTGACTTCATTCTGTTTGGGCTTCAGGCCAATTGGCAGATGTTCTTATAGAAGCTGATCTCAGACACTTTCCCTTTCTAATTTTTTTGGCACAGTTGCCTCTGTTGCATAGGATATCATCTTTGAAACTTTACCTTGGGTTCCCCAGGTTTTGATTGTTTTGTAGGCTTTGGTTTTCTCTTAAATCATTCTGCCCCACAGAAGTTCACATAAAAAAAAATATGAAATCGTTGGCAATTCCTTGGGTGTAATTATGACTTATCCAATGACCTGCCTGCAACTTTACAACCATTCCTTACCTTTCCCCATGCCCCCTCTGAAATAAAGTAACTTCAGAACAAAAATGCAAACACAAGGTAATCTTCGTGAATACTGTACAGATGAGCCATTTTCTCTCACAGGTTGGACTTTATAGAACAAAATGCCAGAGGTTTGATATTTATTATCTGAAATAGGTTTAACACTTGGAGAAATGTGTTCAAACACATTACCTTGGTAAGAATAGCAAGCTGATCAGTCAGAGTACAGGGTGTGGGCAGAAAACATGATGTGCACAATTTTGCTGTGTGTTGGGCAAAGTTAGAAAATTAGGTACTTTGGGGCATAGAGAGCTCCCCGACAAGGTAGAGGGGAAATACAAATCTTTTTCCAGATCTTAATGAGGGCCACAGGACATCAATTTTAAATATACATGACCACAATATCAATAATGAAGAAATCTTAACGTTTTATTTAATACTTCGGCCAGATCAGCCCCTAGAAGGGATCACTGTTTCAGGAAAGAAGAACAATGAACCATCATTCACTTTCCTGCATGTTCATCCTTTTGCTAATTACTTCTATTGGTCCTGCTTTACTTTTTCTGCAAATTAGGGGGTGGGGGGCTGGTTTCTGTATCAGATCAGCAATGTCTGATTCTTATCCAAATATTCCACCTAATAAGGATGAAAGTTCTCATGAACTGGACAACCACTCTGCAACATTCCTGAGAATTGAATAATATAATAATCTTGAAAGTCAGCAGAGTGGATTATCCACTTTTTTTTTTTTCTGGACTTGAACTTGTGAACTTAACAGTAGCGCTGCAAAAAAAAAAAAAAAAAAAAAAAAAGCAAATGTGCTAAGCACTTTGCCAGAGTAACCTTCCATGTAGACTTTTCATCTTAAATACACACAACAAAAAACAACTACAATTTTTGGAAAATTATGTACAAACCCGATACTTCTTTTGATTACATATAAATACAAATTAACTATTTTTCCTAAAAAGTGGTTATAATAGTAAATAAATACAAAATAAATCTGACCATTATACTTCATGTGCTGGGGTTGAACCCATATAAAATGTACAACTAAATACATTTTAAATCTTTAAGGAATAATTCTCTGATTAAAATATTTGTTTTCCCAACTTCTTTTCGTAGATATAAATATATTTTCAAAATAGCTGTGTTTTTTTTTTCCATTCCATTCCATAAATAAAGTCTTCATTGGGAAATATTAAAGTGTCAGCTGGTTTTGTTTTGGGGGGCTTTTGGGCTTTTTTTTTTTTTTTTTTTTGCTTTTTTCTAATATATATATATATATATATATGTGTGTGTGTGTGTGTGTGTGTGTGTGTGTGTGTATATATTTAATTAATTAATTATTTTTGCTGTGCTAACGACACCCACAACCCTCCACAACCATGTCCTGATAGTTCTTTAATACAACCTTTTCATTTTCGTCAAGGTACAGCATGGAGATAGCACTGAGTTCTGTTGGGACACAGCACGCCTTAGGGATCTTGGAGTTCACAGAGTTGACCAACGTCTGCACGATGGCGTGATTGGTGGAGTTCAGGTGATCGGCCAGGGGAAAAGGGCATTCCCCGTGGCAGTAAAAGGCATGATACCCTGGAGGGGCCACAATCCAGTCATTCCACCCCACGTCACTAAAGTCCACGTACAAAGGGTGTCTCTTACAGCTGGACTTGAGGCGCTTCCGCTGTTTGTGTTTCGCTTGACGCTTTTCTCTTCTATGGAGAGGGCGCCCTTTCCCATCATGGCCAAAAGTGACCAGTAAGGGCCTTATTTGGCTCCAGCTGTGTTCATCCTGGTGCAAAGACCTGCTAATCCTCACGTGTCTCTTGGAGACTCCTTGCTTCTCCTCCAAGTGGGTCACCTCCACCACAAATCCATGGTTGGCGTGTCCCTGCGCAGTCCAACGCATCACAGCGGGAGTGACATCGAAACTCTCCCACCTGCTGGTGTTCTGATTCACCAATCTGGTGTCCAAAAGTCTGGTTACGGGGAATTTTGAGTTGACAGTTGCAGGTTTTATAATTTCATAAATATTAATTCGGTGATGGAAACTGCTATTGCTTCTCAAAGCTTCCTGTATCTGTTCCCGAAAAACCTGTAGTTCTGCTGATGTGATAAACTCCTCAGTGGGAATAGAGCTTAAATTAAAGAAGAATCGCCGGATTGTTTTCCCGTTCATTTCTGGCAGTTCTTCCAAAGATTCTAATTTGATAAAGGTTGGGGGGGGGGGGAGAAGACAAAATATTCAATAAGAGGAGTAATGATAGTTTAGCTATCAGAACTTTTAAACCTTGCAGGGTTTTATTTAGCTCATGTAAAAGTTTGCAACCAGAAAGTAAAACTTTCATGACTGGGGGTGAAGCTCAGTGGCAGAGGGCTTGCCTAGCATATGTGAAGTCCTGGGTTCAATCCCCAGACTGCTAAAAAGAAAAAAAAAAGTCACCTTTAAAATAAAAAAAAAGAATTATTCCTTCCTCCTCCCTTTTCTATAGGGTCATAGCAACACTCATTCCATGAAATAAAATTTCATAATTGTTATTTTTTGAATACATGAACATGACTTCCAGGTGGCTAAAATAATGGGGAAATGGTGATGCATTTCTTTGAAATTCACAGACTTTAGGGGCAGAAAAAAAAATCAGCACTGTAGTTAGTAGGGGTCTAATGAGTGAGGAGTTGAGGAAATTATTGCAGTTCCTTAAAAAAAAAGGCTTTAATGTCAATCCCTTAAGCGGTATCCTAAAACATTACTCTGCAATTTAGATGATTTACAAATCTCAATATACAGATTTCAGCTTCCTAATTAAAGACTCTGAAACTCAACATCAACGATGACATTTTGCAAAGCACACCCTACCATTTTACTCAAAAGTCCAGAGACAAAGGCATTTACAGGGATCTACTTCTTTGGAAACATATGGGTGGTACTAGGACACTGTAGTAATTAAGGCCAAACAATTTTAAGAGAAATAGCTTCCTGACTGTTTTTTCTCTCACCTCCTTATGAACTCAAGAAGCAAAATCTCATTTCACATGCTTTTGGGAGTAAAAGGAAAAAAAAAAAAAAACTTTTTCTCTTGTTTATATTTCCTTTTTGTTTAAATATATATGTGTGTGTGTATAAATATAGACACATATGTGTATATAATCTAATAAACAGGCTGAAGGACAGATGAAAAACCAAATTAATTTATAAAAATTTATGAAAAATACCATTTTGAGGTTCAATGTATAAGAAAGGATCTCATCCTATTACAGAATCAACGTTCTATATCTATCATCATTATTCCACAAGAACCATCTAAATAGGCCACACATAAAGATCTGTCTGGTTTTGATTCCTGAATGTCAAATATAAGAAATACTGTTTTCCAAACAAAATGTAAAATATAATATAGCACCTTGAATGCTTATAGTTTATAGATCATCAAAAGCACAATATTACTATTAAGTTGATAGCTAAAGCATTAGAATAAGTGATATTTGAGCTTATCTTCTACTTTTAACACTCTTTCACTGTCAAAAAAATTACCTGCTTCATTTAGGATTTAAAGAGCTAACAGAATCTATTTTCCCATAGATCCATGTCATTGTTGTAAAAGAAAGTAAAACTTCTATCAATTCTATGGTTGTATTTGCTTAAAAGTCAAAGAGCTGCAAGTTGTGAACACAATCGAGATACCTTCACATAGAAGAAGCATATCAGATCTCTCAAAGCTTCTACCCCACTAATCTTCACCATGTAAGTTTTGCAAGCTGAGCAGAAGCTGAGTTCAACAGGGACAATTTACAGCAAGTTCTTTAATATGCTTTAATATGGTGCTACTGAAACTTTTAACCTCACAGGTAACCAGTAAGATCCCTCAAATTTCCAAATTCAGTAGATTTGAAAAATGGACTGAGATCCTGCATTTCTAACAAGCTACTAGTTGAGAAGATCCTGTAAACTCATGAACCACACTTTGAGTGTCAAGGTTTTAAAGGATGTTTTTGACATTCAAGTGTAGATCACTAGAGGGATGTGTCTGAAAAGTAGCTTTTGGTTAATATAAGTGTGCAGAACAACCATTAGCAAGGGCCAAGAAATAATAGTTGAAGCTAAGGGTAGGCCAGTCAGGGACTCAAACAGAAAGGTCTTCTAAAGTTCTTCTACAAGGACCTGGAAACCACCAGGCCAAGAAGTGAGTACTTGTTAGTCCAAACCTCTTGGGAACACATTTCAGGATCCATCTCACTTTCTGAGCCCCACTGTAAGCTAATGGTACTTCAGCTCGGCCATAAAAATTAACAAAACCTTCCTACCAACAGAACTAGGGCTCTTTCAGTGTATTTAGCTTCTATTTTTAAAAGAGAAGCTCCATTCCATTCCAGAAGCCCTCCTGTGTTTTTGCTCAAGGCACTTTTTCATCAGGGAAGGTAAAAGTTAGCAGCATCCTCCAGACCCCAATAACACCAAAGCCAGAAATGTACCTGAGTTCTTGACTTCTCTGATTACCTGTACATCTAGGTACATTCTTTGTTCTTCAAGGAAAGGGAAGGAAAGGCAAATTATCCAGGGCATTCCATGAATAACTATTAATTTAAGTGCCCAGAGAAATCACAAGAGAAACAAAAACCCTGAATCCCAATCCTTAAATAAAAAGGAAAGAATTGACAACCAATCTCTCTCTCTCTCTCTCTCTCTCTCTCTCTCTCTCTCACACACACACACACACACACACACACACACACACACACATAACATGTGTATGCACATACACTCGTGGCCAGAGGATGAAGAAACAATCTCCAAGCTAAGTATGAAATAGGTTGATGATGTAAGGAAGACAGGTTTTTATAAAAGAGGCATATGCTACAACAATAACCCTCTAAAACTAAAGACTGAATTATATTAAAATTGATGCAACGAGAAACACAGAAAATAGCAATTTCCCACGGTTTAAAATCATTAGAGGCAAGAAGCCTTAACAAAGCAGAAATGTCTCCTGGCTTTGGCAAAGGAAAAAAAAAACTGCACTATAAGTAATAACAGGTAATATAAAGATCTTTCTCCAACTTTCCAACTGTACCTCATCTATCTAATCCTTGAATGCCCTCTATCTCCCATTAATGCAGAGGTCTCTGTTCAAACTGCAGATTCAGGTCACAGACATAAATCAGAGAGGAGCTCCCCAGCCCTGGGAAGTCATTCCTCAAGGTTAGTGCACATACCACCTTTTCCTCCTCCAAGGGAGAAGGTTCAATCTTTTCTTGAGGATGGGAAATTCAAAACCTATTTGAAATAAAGTAAAAGAAAAAGAAACTTTCCATAAATTATCACAGGAAGCCTGGAGATTCAGAAAATAAAGAGTGGGTAATGTATACTTTTTTGGAGGCTTAAACAGTTGTTAATTCCCTTTAAATATCCCTTCTTGAATCAGCTGAACTTGCTTAAAGATTTGAGGCTCTGACCTAACTTCGACCTGAGTTTATGAGTCTCTAAGTTCTTTGTTTCCTTGTGTGTGGGTGTGGGGGGGTGCTGGAGATGGAACTCAGGGCCTTGTACATGCAAGGCAAGTGCTCCACCACTAAGCTATACCACCAGTCCACCTCTAAGTGGAGTTAAGACTAAAAATGTGGGGGAATTTTAAAAAAGCAACATAATGATGATATTCAACCTCTCCTCCAAAAGTCCTAATTTAATCATCTACATGCTGTCAATCATTCACAATTATTCCTCTATTTCCAAATAATCCAAAAGATTGGGGTAGGTCCACTCTGGCCTTTTCTTCCTTAGATAAAAGGATAATGAGACATTTTTAAAAAGTCATCACAGGCCTGGGGCTGTAGCTCAGTGGTAGAGTGCCTTGCAGGTGTGAGGTCCTGGGTTTGATCCCCAACACCACATAAAAATAAATAAACAAAGATTTTTTTTTAAAAAAGTCATCATGATCATGTTAGCTAATGTGCTGGATGCTTTTTTTGTGCCAGGTCTGATACTCACAGCTTTATCTAAAAACATTATCCCCCAACAAACTGACTAGAATAACCATCCATTTTTCATATGAAATAGATGGGAGTTCAGAAAGGTTATGTAACTTTCCTAAGATCACTGAGCTATGAACTTGAGTCTCCTGCAGTGCCTAAGTTTCCAGCCACTAGATGACAGTACCTAACATGGGAAGGAACCTAAACCTCAAGAAAGAGTCAAAACCATTCAGAGGCACATCTGTAGTTAAAACAACAAAAACTGTAAAGCCCCTGGGAGGTCTCTCAGTGGTGGAGCACTTGCTTAGCATGTGGGAGGCCCTGGGTTCCATCCCCAGCACCATAAAAAGAAAGAAAACAACAATGATAACTGTAGTGTGAGCTTTGTCCTAACTAAATGATAGGAATATACTATCCAGGTATAATGGAGAAAGCAGATGAAACTGAGGAGGAAAGTAAAGTTACAAGCCCCCCTGGGATATGCAGAACTTATTTGGAACCACTGCTATTTTGTGGCTGCTTTTTTGCCCTAAAGTATGGTGAGTTGTTTTTTTTTTTAAAGTAAGTTATCATTATGTTTTGAGAATTTTGCAACACTCTTTGAATAGAAAAATACAAAAGACAACAAAAAGATATTCATTAAAACAACAAAATCTGGAGGTAGTCTGGAAAATTGGTAAGCTTGGAAATCACTCTATAACATCATGGAAGGGGCTGTGTATAATACACAATATTTTCTAGAAGATAAAATAATTAATATATAGGTTAAGAGGAAAAACATGGTAACATGAAAGGTTATAAAGAATAAGGTTTTTGTTCATTTTTTTTTCATTTAATCCAGGGCACTTTATCACTGAGACACATCCCCAGCCCTGTCTATTTTTTTTTTTTTTTTTTTTTGAGACAGGCTGGCCTGGAACTTAGGACCCTCCTACCTCAGCCTCCCTAGTTGCTGAGATTACAGGTGTGTGCCATTGCACCTGGCAAGAATAAGTGTTTGTGTGTGTGTGTGTGTGTGTGTGTTTGTGTTTAAGACAATAAAGAAAATGGAAACTAAAGGAAGAAAAGCCTAACCTTGTTTTGGCTTCTGCCTTTAGAATGATGCAGAGCCCTGTTACTAACTTCTTAGAGAAATACCAGAATGGCAAGTCTAAAAAGGACAAAGCAATTCAATGAGAAAGAATCAAGAGGGAATATAGGGGCAGAAAATACGAGTGCCAAGGAGCCATCATGGGTGACCAAAGCCTCAGTCTCAATAATGCTTCTATTAATGGGGCCTTTTGTAATCACACTGTAATACCTGGGGGCACTCGGGAAGAACACCAGCTAAGTGTTGGTTTGGGGGAGGAACCTATAAGTTCAAATTCACACAGGGAATTTGTGGCGTTCATTCTCCTTCACAGGGCAATGATTCTTTCTAGACCTTTCACATTATATGGCTATTTTCATGGTAATTACTTTTGAGGGAACAGGATTCATCTCTACTTGAAAGCATTAGTCATAGATACAAAATAGGAAAATGGTACCCTTCAGAGTCTAGGGGAGCAAGCAAGTGGTTCTCCTACATTCTGATACATCAAGAAAGCATGAAGACTTTTTGCAGGGCCAATGAAATCAATCCAGTTTAATGTGTTTCCAACAGTAGCAACATGTGAAAAACTTTCTATTTCAAGAAGTGATCTTTCTGTATTCAATGGCAGTCCTGCAAAGCCCGCATGGCTGATGGACTTTTCAAAGACTTTGAAAAGAGAATTTTAGCAAAGTTTCCATTCTCCTAAATAAAAGTCATTGTAGAAACGAGTTAGACAACGTTCAACAAGAGAAATGACAACTGATGATTCTATCTCAGATCACTATTCCGGTGATTATATACACACTGATTGAATGATCATATCTTGGCATCTGTTATCTCATAATTTCACTTAACTATCTGATACCTTATTTAATAGGGTTATTTTGCTTCCTTACCAAATACATGCCTAATAATGTTGTACAAACTATATTCTACTCTTGAGCTAGCCTTATTCACATGGTTTATTCAAAATTTTTCAGAGGCAATGTGTGGCACAAGGATGCTTATAAAAATAAAATCTCACATTATACAACAGTAAATAGTCTTCAAAAAGTGTTATATCCAGCTTAATGATGATATACTAGTCACAAAGTGAAAAGAACTGAATTTGTTGAAATTTAAGGAAAAAAATCACACACTTTTCTCTGTCATTTAATTGCATTAAGATGTAAAAATATTGCAAATTCATTTTAAACAAGTTGGTAACTTGGGTACTGTTTTATCCATAACATCACACTTTGACAAATACAAATTTGACTCAAGCATGCTATTTAAGTTACAATGACACTCAAATAATGTATAGCCTGTTTTAAGTTTTGATCAAGCCACTTCTGGATGAAGAATGAGAAATATGGAGACCTTACTGATGAAATCTTCATTCAGTTGAATGTGTTAGACAGTAACTGACTTAAGTGATCTTCCTTTTAAGTTACAAGAGAGACAGTACCTTCCTGGCATCATAAATAAAGTGAGGAATGGTTTCCATGCTATATTCCAGAAGAGGTGGCTAACACAGCTGAGTTTGTTACTTTTCTATCCAGAAAACAAACAAACAAACAAACAAACAAACAAAACTATTTCCAATCATGATCAGCTGGGAACAATGAGCTGACTCTAAAATCATCTCAGGGTTATGATGCTGGAATGTACACAATTTGAAAATGTCTCTCCCTATGAGTACAGACAACTGATGCTTTCAGTGGGCTGGTTCTGATGGAATAGAATGAGGCCTATTGTTTTTCAAATCTCTAATTTCTACTAGCAGGAGAGCACCTTAGGAATGCATTTGAAAATGAATGATCAATTCAGCACATACTTCATTGTTGATCACAATAAGGATCAATTTAGCATCCGCTGCCTTGATGAAGTTATCTTTTGTCATATGGCCCACCTGTGGTACTTCTTCCCATTATCAACCAGTGTTCTCCCAAGTCATCCTTCACACTTGGTCAGAACCTTGGGCTGTGCCATTTCTAATTTGCTTATGTCAGAGCTCAGGTTGTCATTTGAAATCTACCACCTCAGTGGTGAAAAGCAAGAAAAAGAGGGATTTATTCCCCCAGTTTCCCTAATATTCTACAAACAGTGCTCTGACATACAACTTGGCACTTCCTGCTATATTTAGAATGCATTAAGCCAAAGGAACATTTAAAACTGTAGGAAACAACTGACATGTAACATGCTTGTGACTAATTGCTTTAAGAACTTAGGTACAACAGATCTAAGTAGCTGCTCTAAGACACTTCAAATTCACTAAATGCCTTTCTGATGAAACAAACAGAAATATCCTACCTTAGAAAACCACGTTCGGTATCAAAATTAAAAAAAAAAATCACAATTCAATGCACATGAAGGAATCAGACAGCTGTTGCAAAAGCTTTTATCTGAAGGCTTGCCTTGTCTCTATCCAGAGCCTATCTAAGATTTAAGCGCAAGACAAGAAACTCATTGTGGAAATAATAAGATTGATTATGGAACTGATCTCCCACGGGGATTAGATAAGGATTCGAAATCTTCCAAACCAGGCCCAGATCAACAGTAAATTAGAAAGACTTTGGGGCTCTGGGCTTTAATTTTTCAATACTATCTCTGAAAATTTTGCCCTTGGCTCTATTTTAGCCTGAAACCCCAGCTTAAGCAGAAGACACAAGATTTATAGAGGAAGGACTTCCAAACAGATTTAAAGAAATCCCAAACCTTCTCATTCTCCCCCTGTGGAATTCTTGCACGCTTCTCTGACTAGGGGCATGCCTTTCCCCCTCATCTTCCCCATCTTTTGGTCTCCCTCCAGTTCCTGGGGGAGGAGTTACTCTTCTGGCTGCAGGCCAGGAAAAGGGTGCGGATGCGCCAGAGGGGAATCCCTGGTTCCCCTGCCGCCACACAAGCAGCCTGTTAAAATGATATTCTGAAAGGACCAACCAGAAGTAAAAGTGGAACTGTCTGAGCAGCAGCCTTTCGCAAGGATGCAAGCATCTACCCAGGTGGGGGCTCCGCAAGGAGATTCCCCGCCCCTGTCCCGCCCCCACCTCCCTCAAAGCTTGATCCCCGCCTCACCTTCGTGGTGGAAGCTGCGCACGGTATTGGCGCGACTGGCAGCCCTCTCCAGCCTGTGGTCCGGGGCAGGAGCTCCTGGCTGGCCCGAGTGCCGGCGGTACAGGTCCAGCATGTAGGGTGGGACCACAGCGTCCCTGCTCGGGGTGGGTCTCTGCTTCAGGCCGAACATGCCCAGCAGTCGCAACTCAAATTCACTCAGGACGTCGTCCGAGGGCTGGGACGAGGGGCGGCCGGATGATGCCGCGAACTTCTTGCGGCCCAGCTCGGGAATGAGGCCGGCCGCACCGCCCAGGAGGACCTGGGGAAGCAGCAACGCTAGAAGACAGCGGGTCCCGGCCACCATGGTCGACCTGCGGACAGGGCCGACGTGAGTCACCGGAGTTCCCCGCCCAGTCCTCCCTCCTTCCCGCCCCCGCGGCCCAGGCTCCCGTTGGGCTATCTGACCTCCTCCTCCAGGTTGCCCGCCTGTAGTGCACCACTCGCACCACTACATAAGAGATGCCGGAAGACGCCCGCATCTTTAGGAGAATGAAGGGCCCCAAGTTCCTGAATGCTTTCCTCTTCCCATTCCATTCTCAATCCGTCTGATCTCTGGGGATTTTGCGTTAGTCCCCAGACAGCATCAATGACTGTCAACCCATTTTTTTAACCCCCTGTGACACCATCTCTGACAGCCAATGCCGCCTGGAGTCCATGAAAACACCATTTGACTTGACATCCTGCATCCTCTACAGACTCAAACACACAGTGTCCAGCGCTCGAAAAGTGCATGTGACTTCCTTAGAAGTGCTGCATAGAACTTCCTGCAACTTACCTACACACACGCGCGCGCGCACACACACACACACACACACACAGAGAGAGAGAGAGAGAGAGAGAGAGAGAGAGAGAGAGAGAGAGAGAGAGAGACTGTAACTTCTAGATCCTGTAAACTCAAGCCCACAACTTTCGAAGTTGTGGCACAAGACGCTAACCTCAGGGGTGAAGGACAAGCCATTCCATCCCCGCATCCCTCCAGTGTAGTAGAGAAACACAATTATCTTCCTGGAATCATGTCAATGGCTAGTATCTATTAATGCACGTGCCAGCTGTTAAAATACAAAGTGGCACTAAAGTAAGGTCCCTTCGCATTTCTGGAAACAAACACCGAGAATCCCAACTTTCCGAAATGGGACTTAACTTAGCTCTGAGTAGAGAGCCGATCTCCCTAAGCAACTTGAGGAAGGTGAAGGGGTTAGATCGCCGTGGCAGGGGGTACAGGTTGGCAACGAATGGGTGAAATTTAGGGTCCACCCTCTTGAAGGGATTTAACTTTTTTTTTTAATCATGTAAGCGTTAACCGCCTTAATAACATACCTAAAAGAGGGGAAGGAGGAGGGGCGGAAGACTGTGGGCCAGGAAGGCGAGTCAGTAGGTCGCCTGGGGCTGCTGGTTGGGGCGCACCCTCAGGGGCTCCGCAGCACGTGGACTCGAAGGGGGTTCTGTTTACTTGGAGCGGGTCGCAGCCCCAGGAGGAGCTCTGCAGCGACCGGTGCCGGAGCACGGGGTCCCCCCACCCCCACCTTACTGCCGGCCAAGGGCCCGCGACCTCTACCTTTAGGAGACCGCAGTCCGTCTAAGAAGCACGCGGGGACACGTCCATTGAAAGAGTCTCCACATGGAAAAAGCTCTGTTAGAAGAACTTGGCGCTGGGACCGGGTGTCCGTTCCCTTTGCCTCCTCCTCCTCCTCCCGGGTGCCGGCCGCGCAGTCCCTCTTTCTCAAGCTCGGAACAGCTTCTAGGGGGGTTGGGCCCGGCAGAGGGGTGGAGGGGCGGCGGGGCTCAGAGGCGACCAGGCTGGCTGTGCTGGCAAAGGCACCCGTGCGAAGTGGGGAGTACAAGTTATTCTCCCTGCAAGTTCAAGAAGTCTCCAGCCAAGTGCTGACACACAGCAGTGAGCAGGGGGAGGAGTGCGGGGAAGGGAAGGGAAGGAAAGGGAGAAAGGAAAAGCTGGTGCTGTTGTCGTCCTTAGGAACCAGCGCCCACGGGACGCGTGGCCCCGCGCGGGGCCGGCTCCGGGACTCTGGGGGCGATGGTTGGGCGCTCCGCGCTAGCTCTGCCGCGGCCCATGGCTCGGGGCAGCCATCCTGGGCGACGCCGGGTCCGGGTAAGGGCACAGCGACGATCTCGGTGCCAGGCGAGTCGCCCCCCCGCATCACTCTGCCTTACTCCAGCGCACCCCCATGAGCGCTCGCCGGTGGAAACTGCCGCGACTCCGGCGCTCCGTCGTCCTTAGGCGCATTCTCCAGCGAGTACAACCGAGTCCCGGGCCGCTGAGGCGGGTGGCCTCCCTCTCCTAGCCTTCGGGCCAAGTGCCTTTGTGGCTAGCCTGGGGTCCGATCACACCTCGACCATCACGTCCCAGGCGCCCGATCCCCGACAGGAGGTGCTGGGCATCGCGCCGCTGAGTCTCAGCTCCGGACACCCCAGCGCTCAGCGCGCCCGTCCGCGGCTCCGCGGGGCCCGGGCAGCAGAGGCCACAGCGCTGCGGCGCGCACGGCCGGGTGCTCCGACCCGCGCGGGGTCTGAGGCGTGCGGGTGTCTGCTTGCCTGCAGTGATCCCTGTGGCGCTCGCCCCGAGGGCTTTGGAGTCGCCAGCGGCGGATGTCCCGCGGCGGCTGCCAGTCAGTGGCCGGGTGTGGGAAGCGGAGCGGCGGGCGCAGCGCGAGCCGGGCGCAGCGCAGCGCAGCGCGGCAGGGCGAGGACTCAGGCGGCGGCGGCGCCGTGGCGCGGCGCTCGCGGCTTTTAAAGGGGACGCCTCCCGGCCGCGGCCGAACACCTCCCCCTCGGCTGCGAAGCTCGCCGGGGATCCCCAGGCGGGCGGGAGTGGCGCGCAGGGGTGTGGACGGCGCGCTCGGGCAGCCACGGCGGGGTGGGGCTGGGGGCGGGGGCGCACCGCCGCCGAGAGGGGCGCTGCGCTTCCACAGGGCCCTGGCAAGGGAGGTCTGCTAAAGTGCTGGACCCTCGGGAAGACTCGGAGGCGGGATCCAGGACGAATGCAGGGTCGGGCCTCTATTTACCCACCGGGTCCGTTATTCAACTTTCAATTTGAAGTTTTTCGGTGATAGATGATCTTTAAGAAAGAAGAACTCAAGTTACAAGGCTTCTTGGCATAGACGTGGGGTGGACAATTTGTGTTTTAGGGGGTAGGATAAGAGTTAAAGAAAATAGGATGGAAACTGTTATTTAAACAACACAGAGATATACGGATATGCGAACTTAGTTACGTATGTAAATACATGTGTGTGCATTTACATGCATATAAATATCGTTTATGTATAACATGTATATCCATAAACAAAGCGTGTGTTTATATTCGAATAAATATATCTAGTATACAAAAATATATGCGTATGTTTCTGTGAATATATGTATGCAAATATAGGCCAACCAAGACCGCGTTTCCGTAAATAGTCTACCTACATGGCATGGGTGTCTTCTGCGATGACACGTGTAACGTGCAGTGTGTGTGTATGGCAGCGTTAAGGCAGGATGGGAGAGATTTTATTCCTTTTTATGGTAGCAATCATTTCATGCCTTGTGATATTTATCTCGCCTCAGCTCAAAGGCAGGCGATTAGCAGCTCAGAGAAAGGTAAAATAACGCACAATGAGCCAAGCATACAAGGTAATTCCAGTTTGGGACCTTAGAACCTTCTCCCCCACCCCATTCCACCAGGTCCCCAGGAGCTTTGACTTTTGGCCAAATCAGTTTTCTCCTTCAGCTGAAATACATCCTAAAGTTGCTGCATCTTGAGTCTTTGTGGAATTCTTTTGGTCCCTCCCAGGGTTTTGGGAACCTCTGTGCATAACAACACCAGGTTGCCTTGATGAACACCCCCCACCACCTTGCCCCAAGGTAGGGTGGGGGGGTAGGATTTTTGAAAAAGGCGGGAATGGTAAAATCAGTTTCTGCATCAGAACTTTCAAGCCTGAAAAGTGGAGGGAAAAAAGTCTGAAATGGGAGCTTAATAAAAATAATAATAACCTATTATCCATGTCTTTATTTTTTCGATGGTAGAGCTAAAATAATTCTAGGTTCTGCTCACATAAATCGGATTAGCAACCCACAGAGAGGAATTAGGCACTCCTTGTTTCTAAAGGTATAAAGGTCAAATAAGGTATTTTAGCGGAAGGCTGTCTATTAGGAAAATAAAGGAAAGGGGAAATATTCAGGAATATGCTACTTTACTCCTTTTTTAAAAACAGTGCTATGGAAGTTGTTGCTCTGAATCACTGAACACCAGGCAAGTAAGCAATAAAACCTATTCTTCTCATAGACACTTAAGTCAAAACAGTTTTTATTGTGCTTCTGAAACTATTTCCTTCTCTATCAAGTTTAATTGAGAACTTAACAATTGTTTCTGTCATCAGTAAGATTTTACAAACAAAACAAAGGGAAACCTAGATGAGACTTAAATCAGTATGTTGCTTTTAAGGAGGAAGAGAAAGCTGATAGCTGTTGGACACACCCCAAGAAAAGATGAAAAATAAATCTCTGGTGATGACATGGAGGATGTCTTAACAGCTTTAGGCCTTCATAACTGAGAAATGGGAACCTTGTGAGTTTTAGGATATCATCTTCGATAGTCAAGAGTCTGGGGGAAATTTTAAATTTCTAAATATTCTGTTCCATTTGCCAACCACAGTATCTCTTCCATGTAGAGTATGCAGTTTATCTGGGATTGCTGAATGCTTTTCCCAAGCAGAACTTTCCTGAAGTTTGGCCCTATTTCTCTCTGAAGAGCAAAGACTCTCTGGTTGTTTATTAGAGATGGCTGCCCTCTTGTGGTGGAAATGAGTTCAAACGCTTGGGAGAAAAGTAGATTCTTTCATGAATTTGTCTCCAAAGACTGACTTGGGGTACAAAGTACAGGATAATGTACAGTACATTTTCTGGGCAACAGCAATAGTTGGAAATGAGAAACCTAAATGGAATTAATTAATTTATTTTTTGTTCTCTCTGCTAATGGCAAACTGCAACTGAGAATGCAGGGTTATTTGATACTTGGAGGTGGCAATGTTTGTTTGCTTTGTTAACATCAGTTACTGCTAAATATAGTTGACTTTACCCTTTTCAAAGATTCATTTACAGATTTTCAGTCCATAGGGTAAAATTAATACTTTCTGGGATTATGAAATTGGATATATCTGCCAGCAAATGTGGTGAGGGGTAAGGGTGGGGTAAGGAGTGTTTGGGCAAGGATCAAGGTAGTTGTAAATACAAATACCTCATCAGGGACAAACAAATTATGTAAAGATTCAAAGACTTCCAAATAAGGATTCTAGATTAGGTAAGTTACTACTGTTCCATTTCAGTCATTTCTTGCCAGTTTTTCAAGAGATACTGGAAATCCATATTTGATTGTATGTGGACATGACCTGGGATGAGATTAAGTGCTTGAAGAGTCATACTTTGGCAACTTTTCCTTTAGCTGTTCAGCCCAGATAATGTTTAATTTTATTGCATCCTGCAGCTATTAGCATTCAGCATTGTTCCTGCTAAGCCAACTATTATGCAAATTAACATTAAAATAATGATCCTCATGTATTGTAAAGGTCACAGCAGGCATGACATGATCCATCTACCTTGTAATTGTCATTCCACTGAAACCTGTGGCAACTCCCCTGAGAAACCTCTTGGCTTTTAGCCTGTGTACTGTGTGACACCCAAGCCCAGTACTACTTATTTTGTCTGAATGAGATTCTTTTGCAGGAACCACAACCCACAGCAAAGAGTAGCATTTAGTCAATTAAACTTTTACTTATTTAATATTTGATTACACATGGAAAGAAGGATGAATGTAGTGGAGAGATTTATATGCAAAATTAGGCCCACTTGGCCAATTCACATTGCTTTAGATATCTACTAAGTATTATTAATTGCCAAATAGCAATATAGCTATATTGTCATATATTGGCATGATGATATCAAAAGGTCTTGATCTTGTGTTAATTAGATTGTGAAGAGTCAAGCACAGTGTCTTTTACAAAACCAGTCTACAGATTTTTATTGAGAAGCCATGAAGCCTATGGCACTATGTCACTGAGGTCCCAGTGAATGCAAAGATACACAAATTCTACACCTTACTTATTTAGAATTCAGTGGAAGAAATGTGACACGTTCACAAGTAAATATTTGTAAAATATAAAGCATATAAGCAAAGAATTTTAAGAAATAGGAGGAACAATTGTAGAAGGCTTAATGGAAAACAATTGCATTTCTGATGTGTAGGAATTTATAGTAGGAAGAGCATTCTAGAGGAATATTCAAGTGAACAGAATTTTAGTAGGGTCAGAAGTTATCTTTATGAACAACATCAGTATTAACACCAACACATTTAATTACTCAATTATTAGATACTAGGTACTTTCCACATGTAATTTCCTTTACTCCTCATGAAAATTTCACAGTGGATGTTATTACCTATATTATTTTGCCAATACAAAACTGCTAAGAGGAGAGAGGTTGGGCCATAGCTAGAAAATAGCATATGCAGTAATCTATTCTAGAACTCATGTTTTTTACTACCCACCTGCCACCACCACAATGCTAATCGTCTCTAGTGTATGCAGTGGTAGCAACCTAAAGCTGAGACATCAGGTGAAAAAAATGTAGAATGGTGATTTGAGGAGTCTAAAGAGGTAGTTCAGATTTAGAGAGGAGTTTGGAAAGCAAAAAAGTAGCATCAGAATGTAAGTCTATGTTCCTACTATTCCTAGTTTTTCTAGTATTTTGAACATGAAGAGATGCTGCATTTTGTCAAATGCTTTTTCTGCATCAATTGAAATAATCATAAGATTCTTGTCTTTAAGTTTATTGATGTGATAAATTACATTTATTGATTTCCATATGTAGAAAATCCCAATGACATTCTTCATAGAACTAGAAAAAGCAATCATGAAATTCATTTGGAAAAATAAGAGACTCAGAATAGCCAAAGCAATCCTTAGCAAGAAGAATGAAGCAGGAGGCATCACAATACCAGAACTTAAACTATACTACAGAGCAATAGTAACAAAAATGGCATGGTATTTGTGCCAAAATAGACATGTAGA